CACACACACACACACACACACACACACACACACACACACACACACACACACACACACACACACACACAAACACACACACACCACAAAAACGACAGACACATCGACTAAGTATAAGCTGAAGATCTGAAGTGAAGTGAATAGGAGTATGAAGATCTGAAGTGAAATGCACAGGAGCATACCTTCCCCTTTACTCTACCTCCTGTTATGAAATGTAAGTGGGCCGTTAAGGCACACGGAGATGTGGGCAGCTGCCGCACAATCAAGGTGGGCAGCCTTGTACGTACGAGGCATAGTAAAAGAGGAGCTGTTGCCCCAAAGAAACCCCAGCTAAACGCAGTTCTAAATGGTTCGATTATGATTCATGTTGCTTGCTAAAGAGGTGAAATTGTCTAATTGTTGGGCCGTCTCAACTCGAATCTACTCGTCTGGGTGGAATAGGGGCTGTTGTGGTGGAAATTTAAAACAAACACACACACACAGACACACCCCTCTGCGCGCGCGCAGATACGAAATCAGACAAAGATCAGGCCATCCTTAAAGCTGTGATTTCCTTTTTTGCAGCTTTATTTTATCAAAGTCAGTCATCCGCGGCCAACAATCTCTGTGTCCCTCTCTCTACTCTATCCTCTGCCATCCCATGCATTCCGAGAGGTCCATCCCATGCATTCCGAGAGGTCCATCCCATAAATGCCCTTTACTCTCCTCCTTTCCCCTCCCCTCCTCCACACGCTCCTGTTCTCCCCTTCCTTCCCCTCCTCTCCCCTTCCTTTCCCTTCCCTCTTCTGCCCTCGCTTTCCATCCTATCTCCTCCTATGCCAGTCTATCCTGTCTGATCGATCCCACCTCCTTGCATCCCATCGCATCCTCTACCATCCCGTCCATCCATTTTTTCGGTCCTTCTTTTTCTCCCCCCCCCCCCCCCCAGATATTGAACTGATTATAGATGCTACACTTGATCTTAGCCAAACGACCAAGAAAGGTATCCATCCATCTAGTCATTGCTCTTTTCTTTTCTTTCCCTAAGCTATATTCTTCTCTCAGTTTCACCTTTCACTATCTGCCTACCACTACTAAGCCTATACAGGGGACCCCTGCAAGCATAGCTACCTCTCACAATTAAGGGAGTGCATGTTGCCCCCGGCCCTCATCGGAGGTGGTCAGGTTGGGGCCCCCGGCTAATGCAAAGACCGAGCTTTTTGCCAGTAGCTGCGCCTCCCATCTACTTCCCCCACCCCCCATCGAGTAGCAGCAGTGGCTATGGCCAAGATTCTCCCACACACCACTCACAATCCACTCACGCTCACACTAACACCCGTGTTGGTCATAGACCCTACTAGTGTCGATCAGGGGTATCACCCCCCCTCTTTTTTTTTCCCCTTCCTTTTTTTTTTATAAATAAAATACAGCTATCTTCTCCTCATATGTGGGGGACAAGCTGTATTTTTCTACTAGCTACCTACCTAATGGGTTACCTCTATTCAGGAGGACGCAATTTCTCTATACTGGAGTCAGCGTTTCAGCCTTAAATGTGGCAACTATGCCTAAGCTATCCTAAGGTTATGGGTCTGTTCCTACCTAACTCTGCTCTGTGTGGTGAGCAGCACCCAAGGTCCTATCACCTGGTGCAGGCTGGAACATAAGGCACCAAATCTTCCACAACCAGCCATGAGGGACAAGCCGACTTTCTCAGTCGGTGAACCCGAAGTATACCACCCCACTCAGGGGGTCGTGGGAATCAAATGGATGCTGTGGGGAATCGAACCCACGACCTCCTGTGCACCACTTACCTGCTCAACCAACTGAGCTAGGCTGCTTGGCCGCCGCCCTCTTTTCTTTTTTGTTCATAAAAGCAGCCTAAATTATGAGATAGCGAATGGTTGGTTAGGAGCACTGAAGCATATGCCCTAGGTTAAATTAGGATTAGTTTTTGGACTTA